GGAACTGTGAGCCCGTTAAATGTTTTCCTTTATTAATTACCTAGTCTCAGGTAGGTCTTTATTAGCAGCATGAAAACAGACTAATACAGCATCCATGATAATTGTTGGAGGGATTACTGTATTTATTTTTATTTATTTATTATATTTTAAGTTCTGGAGTACATGTGTAGAACATGAAGGTTTGGTACATAGGTATACATGTACTATGGGAGTTTGCTGCATCCATCCCCCCATCATCTACATTAGATATTTTCCCTAATACTATCCCTCCCCAACCCTTCACCCCCTGCTATCTCTTCCCTAACCCCATCCCCCAACAGGCCCCCGTGTGTGATGTTCCCCTCCCTGTGTCCATGTGTTCTCATTGTTCAATACTCATGAGTGAGAACATATCGCATATAGTTTTCTGCTCTTGTGTCAGTTTACTGAGAATGATGGCTTCCAGCTTCATCCATGTCCCTGCAAAGGACATGCACTCATCCTTTTTTTATGGCTGTATGGTGAGGCCATTACTGGATATATACCCAAAAGATTATAAATCATTCTATTATAATGACACATGCACAAGTATGTTTATTGTGGCACTGTTTACAATAGCAAAGTCTTGGAACCAACCCAAATGCCCATCAAGGACACTGGATAAAGAAAATCTGGCACATATACACCATGGAATACTAGGGAGGACTATATTTCTTGGAAATACATGTACATAAACAATAACAGATGCTGAATTTTCTAGACTATGCTAAGATGGTAATAACTTGTAACTAAGAAATTGACCTTAATAATTTATAGGATGTTCCATTTCAACATACTATCAAGAAAGAATGAAAATCCTTGTATGTTCTTTGTAAATTCTGGATATCAGCCCCTTGTCAGATGGGTAGACTGCAAAAATTTTTTCCCATTCTGTTGGTTGCCGATTCACTCTACTGACTGTTTCTTTTGCCGTGCAGAAGCTGTGGAGTTTGATTAGGTCCCATTTGTCTATTTTGGCTTTTGTTGCCATTGCTTTTGGCGTTTTGGTCATGAAGTCCTTGCCTACACCTATGTCCTGAATGGTTTTGCCTAGATTTTCTTGTAAGGTTTTTATGGTATTAGGTCTGATGTTTAAGTCTTTAATCCATCTGGAGTTAATTTTGGTGTAAGGTGTCAGGAAGGGGTCCTGTTTCTGCTTTCTGCACATGGCTAGCCAGTTTTCCCAACACCATTTATTAAACAGGGAGTCCTTTCCCCATTGCTTGTTTTTGTCAGGTTTGTCGAAGATCAGATGGTTGTGGGTATGTTGTATTTCCTGTGAGGCCTCTGTTCTGTTCCATTGGTCTATATCTCTGTTTTGGTACCAGTACCATGCTGTTTTGATTACTGTAGCCTTGTAGTATAGTTTGAAGTCTGGTAGTGTGATGCCTCCCGCTTTGTTCTTTTTGCTTAGAATTGACTTGGCTATGCGGGCTCTCTTTTGGTTCCATATGAAGTTTAAGGTGTTTTTTTCCAGTTCTGTGAAGAAGGTCATTGGTAGCTTGATGGGAATAGCGTTGAATCTGTAAATTACTTTGGGCAGTATGGCCATTTTCACGATGTTGATTCTTCCTATAGAAATCCCATTTGACCCAGCAATCCCATTACTGGGTATATATCCAAAGGATTATAAATCATTCTACTACAAGGACACGTGCACACGAATGTTCATTGCAGCACTGTTTACAATAGCAAAGACCTGGAACCAACCCAAATGCCCAACGATGATAGACTGGATAGGGAAAATGTGGTACATATACACCATGGAATATTATGCAGCCATCAAAAACGATGAGTTCACGTCCTTTATAGGGACATGGATGAACCTGGAAACCATCATTCTCAGCAAACTGACACAAGAGCAGAAAATCAAACACCGTATATTCTCGCTCATAGGCGGGTGTTGAACAATGAGAACACATGGACACAGGGAGGGGAGCACTACACACTGGGGTCTGTTGGGGGGAAATGGGGGAGGGGCGGGGGGGTGGGGAGGTGGGAAGAGATAGCATGGGGAGAAATGACAGATACAGGTGAGGGGACGGAAGGCAGCAAAGCACACTGCCATGTGTGTACCTATGCAACAATCTTGCATGTTCATCACATGTACCCCAAAACCTAAAATGCAATAAAAAAAAAAGAAAAAAAAAAAAAAAAAAAAAAAGAAAATCCTTGTATGATAACACTAGAAAAATGTAGCATTAGAATCTCAAATCTGAACTTTTTCACTTTGATCATTGCATTGACCAAAATATATGGACTAAAAAATGTGTTTATTATAGAATACTTAGTGATATTTCTGAAAATTTCTCTTACACTATGAGATATGAGACATTCCATAGAGTGACATAGCCCTAGGTGAGAGTCCTCACTTTGGTATTTAGCTGTATGACCTTGCCCAAGGTTAGGAGACCTTTCTTTGTCCTTGCATTTTTGTACCACTGAAATAGAAATATATATTTACTTTGTTTGATTCTTAAGAGAATTAGGTTAGCACATATTTTATGGTACGTAGTAAGTGCCTAAAAAAATTATTATTACACAAAAGGAAATGCTGTTCTCATTAGTAATATGATCATACAGGCAATAAATTTTCTCTGGGGAATGAGAATTTAGGTTGGAGTTTTAGCTGTTACTATGCTTTTTACGCTAAAATAAAAGCATCAAAGTACTATTTTGGTCAGCAGTATATTTTTAGGGGGAGTTAGGGTGATACTTTGAGGCATTTCTATTTTGCTACCATAATGAAATAATATAAAATGTAATTACAGAATTCAGATTTATTTTTTGTAATGCATCTTTACTACAAAGAAGGAAACATGATCAGAGCTGTAGAAACAATGAAGTGTTTTAGCCTATGCAGTTTACTTAGCAGTATATTGTGCCTGTATTTGCTGATATGTGTGCAGAATACATGTATATGAATATATATGCAGAATACATATATATTCATATAAGTATGTATATATGAACATTTATTATATTATTTTCATAACAACAAAATCCCAGAAACTTGCACTTTTTCAATTGGGATAGTTTACAAGCAGATTATGCATATGGTAGATGTGCACTGATGGAATGGATGGATTCTTGCTAGAAGACAGAAATTGAATGATATTAAAGACGTTAAAGAAACAGGGCACAACAGAGCAAATGATTCTGATATATGTACAAAAATGTACACATGCGTGTGTGCACACACACACACATACACACACAATTTCTGAAAGAATGTTCTATAATGTAAAATTGGTTTTCTCCTAGGAGGATATCTTACTTTGGAAGGAGATGTACTTCTGGATTTCTGATATTTTTCTGCATATATGAATGTGAAAATTAGCTTAAAATATATTCATGGAAGGAAATAAATGAAAAGGCAACAATTGCTGTATCAATATGGTTGTCATATAATTGATTTATATTTATATGTGTTTATGTGGTCTGTCCTAGTTATTCTGAAATGCTATAATAAACATAAATTTCAAAAAGATTCAGCACTGATTGACAGATTTAGATAAATGATTAAATTATAGAAGTTATAATTTATGTAATGGTACAATTAATTGTTTATTGATTTTTAGTATTTCTGACAATGTCAGTATTAAATTAAGCAATAGCTTAATTTTTCTTTTTAAATAAATTTTTAATATTGAATATCTTAATATAATTAGTCTTTTTAATTTTGACTCTAAGATCATTCACATATCTTTACAAATGGAGGCAGCAGAAATAATATACTAAACTCAAGTTTTTGTTGTTTCACCTTACGCCTGTTTTTTATTATGATGATTTGGAAATTTATTATCTCTCACTTTTACTTCTGCAGACAAAATAAGTCATAGTTAAAGTCAAATTACAATGCTTTTATTCATTTCAAGAACATTTTTAAAACTCAGCCTATTTCTGCATTAAAAATATTAGTGGTTGGCTGGGCATGGTGGCTCACACCTGTTATTCCCTATATTTTGGGAAGTGGAGGCAGACAGATCACAGTCAGGAGTTTGAGACCAGCCTGGCCATCATGATGAAACCCTGTCTCTACTAAAAAAAAAAAAAAAAAAAAAAAAAAAAAAAAAATATATATATATATATATATATATATATATATGTAAAATACAACAATGAGCATGGCATGGTGTCACGTGGCTGTGGTTCCAGCTACTCTGGAAGGAAGCTGAGGCAGGCGAATTGTTGAACCAGGAAGGTGGAGGTTGCAGTGAGCCAAGACTCCATCTCAAAAACAAACAAACAAACAAAACTTAGTGGTTGAATATCCATTGATACTATTAAATAGATCTTATAGGAAAGAAAGTTAAACATCATGTCTCATAGAGCCAAGTTAACTATGCTTTAGAGGAAAATGAAAAGCTCAGAAAGAGGTAGAAATCATAAATCAATAATCTACCATAAAGTTAAAAAATAAATAACATGCCTATGTATTTCTTTCATAGACATCTATGTTGCAATAGACAGTTTTTTTCTGTTGAATAAAATACAGGAAAAACAAAAAAATCAGTGGTTTAATATCCATTTGTACTATTACATAGATCTATTAGCTTCATCAGGGTAGGGGTTTTTCAGGTTCATTCACTGCTATATCCTAAGTGTCATGTGCCTGTTAAACAGTAGGTGATGCTTAAATATGCATTAATTTATGCATTGTATTAACATTAGAGTGCAAGTTGAATTAATTTAAATATGATGAAATTGAGCTATGGAGCTTATGAATAATTAAATTATCCTGTTTTGATAAGAAAGCTTATTTCAGAAAGGAAAGGAGAATGCTAATATAGTTATTGAAATCATAATATGTTGTACATTCCACTGGAAAGCTTTTTCATGCTAATATATTTAAATCCTATTGTATGATAGTCCTGCTATAATTTGCGATTGATCACCCGGTTAACAATCACTATATTGTTCAAAGATACCTCATAAGCATTTTTTGATACACTCTTTTTTTGTGCTTGCCTCCTTTGAAGAACCCCTGTAAGCATTCAGCCAGGTGTTGAGAAGACATGTAGCAGCTGAGAACCCATCTTTTGGCACCATCCTCAGAAACCAGCTTTGGAGATGCTTTCACTCTGTCCGTCTTCTGCAGCAGCCAGGCAGAGTGCTGACTCCTTCACAGCAGTGAGGAACGCTTCACGCTCCAGAAGTAAGTTGATTGCATTCAGTTCAATCATTGTCAATGGTTTTAAAACCCTTAAGGGAAGAAAACTAAAAATCTTATTAACTTACATACAAATTAAACCTAGTATTATTCATCACCGATTATCTTGTTTCTTTTTTGAGTCATATATTTCTGGAGATGAAATGTCTACCACTTTTTGTGTTAATAACCTATATTCTTATGGAATTTTCTGGTTTTTCTTTCAGGATTTGTGTTTCACATGCATTGTCATAATTTATACTAATAACCGTAAGGCCTGGACAAGGAATAGATTAAAATAACAATCTTTACAAATCAAAAAAAGGTTCAAAATGGCCAAGTATTTTTTCAAATTTGTTTGTCTAATAAATTATGAAACTGGAATACAATTTCTCGTTTTCGAATTTTTAAAAAATGAGTGCTGCTTCCATGAGTGTAATGCCCAGCACTATATGGAGGGTAATGGGCTGGTGCCAGAAAGAGCACTTTTCCTGATTGGTTGGTTTATTGAATGACATGTTATCTGGGTCATTCAAGAAGGGTTTATGGAAGCCTTTAAATGTGCATACTAGAAAAAAAAAAGAAAATGAAAATCATATATAGGAAAATGAATTAAAATCAGCGGACATGAATAGTCTGTAAAATGCATAACACAATGTACTGCATAGTACCACAAAACAAATTCCCAGCCATAAATTTATTATGGGTTTTCTAACTTCTAGATGAATCAGGTAAATGCATTAGTTTTAAAAGATTATTTATGATCATAAGATTTGAAAATAAAGACAATGTCTCAGGAAAAGTTTAGACTTTCCTGGTTCATACTTTTGAGCCTGTTGTTTTGCCAAGTTTCTAGTTTAACTTTATGTTTGAGACTTTTTTTTTTTCTCCTAAATACGTAATGTAGGCATTTCATGTTGCTCTTGGGGATATATTTATATCACAATGTCACTGCACAGAAAATTGATTGTAGGCACACTTTTATAAAGAGCAAAAGTTTGATATAGCTGAAATTGTCTATCAATGATTGGATGCTTGGCAATTAAAATTTTCTTGGAGTGAACAGGTAAGAGATAATAAATCCACTTTTACTTTGCAATATATTACATGTCAATGTGCAATATGAATATATGTTAATAGAAGAATATAAAAAACTTTAGTTAAGAATTTGTATCTGAATCATGATGTTACTAATTACATAACATTTAAAATAGGCAGCCAGTATGTTGTCGCTACTATGCTCAAAGTGGTGTCGAAGGACTACTTTCAAGACACATACAAAAATAATGTATTTAGATTATATTGAGGTTAATATTATAACTGTGATGATAGTATAAAATGATGAATCTGAGTATGCAGATTAATTCAAAACATTATTTTAGTGTAGGTTTTTTCTCTTTATATTTTATTACGTGATACCTCTTGTGTACATGATTTATTCATTTATTTTAGGAATTGCTTTTGTTGATTTTCTTCTTTAGCTTTGCATTAAATGAAGCAACTTGAGGAATACATTCTAAATTTTCTGTGATTTACATTTCTTAAGGAAACAGAGGACCTTGACCAAGCTTGAGGTGATTTCATATACTGTGAAAATGTAAAAATGGATAGTTTGTTTCTCTATGCCAACCCCACGGGAAACTCCTGAGATTTTATCTTCCCAAACAATTAGTTAATTAATGATTTTAGTTTTGTTTTGTTTTCCACTGGTGAGGCTTTTTCTAGATAAAAGCATTTACTTTACGAAAGCTGTTAGACAAGAAAGTATATTAGCTGATAGAGTCTCTAGTGTAAATCACAAAACTAAGCAAATTCAAACACATTTTCATTTACTAATTGCTAAAATCAAGGCCAAAGGATTTTCTTAATTAACCTGGAAATTAAAGGCTAACCAGAAATAATTTATATATTGAAAAAGACTCTTCCAAGTTAATGCTTGATTCAGTTTTTTCAATTAGCAGTCCATTAGTGTTGAGAAGTAGTACCTCCTTTTCTCTATTTCTTCTTTGGAGTAACATTAGGTTAAAGTCTCGCATGAAATTAATCACCCTGAAAAAAAACAGAAAGTAAAAACACATTCCTAATTAGTTCCTCCAACTTCAAATAGCTCATTGAAAATTCATAGCACATCCATTAAAATCCCTTTAAAAATAAGTGGAATACCAGGAAGTTTCTTAGAGTGAATGGACTAGTAGTAGTAAAATAATGATGCAATGGAATATCCACTTGTGATTAAGGCAGGACAGCTGAGATGGTAATGGCTGCGATTATGATTATTTTTCCTCACTGTGGCATTTTCAATTAGCCTTGGACAGTAGAAGAGTACTTTTGTCTGTTTCTCTATTTGTTCTCACTTGACAAAAGTATTGATGAATTTAAACAATGCATAATCATGTCTTAACAGCAAATGTGCCTATAGGTACATGCTTTTGCAAATACATATGTATGTGTGTGTATTTAGCTGCATGTATGTGTATGTATATATTTATGTATATATGTGTGTATATATGTAAAGATAATTTAGTATACACATAATGATTATAATCATTCTACAAAGCTAATATGCCTTTTAAATATTAAGGTATCCTTAATGACATTAAATCTATAATATTTAAGGGATGTTTTTATTTTTCTGAAATGAACTCCCTTATATTTAAAGGTTGTAAATTATCACCTTTTGTGACATTATTTGAAAGTGGCTTAACTACCTATCACAATAATGGTCAACATATTATCATTTGACAATTTCTAATACTCTTTACTAAACATTAATTTATTTGCTATGTATGCCGCTCTGTGAGTAAAGTTTTCATTTCTCTATTTTCTCAACCATATGTTAGTCTGTTTTTGTATGACTGTAAGGAAATACCCAAGGCTGGATAATTTAGAAAGAAAAGAGATTTAACTGGCTCAAGAACTGTGGAGCCAACATCTGCTTCTGGTGAGAGCCTCAGGAAGGTAATCATTATGACAGAAGATAAAGGGGGAGCAGGCACATGACATGGAGGGTGCGGAGCAGGAGAGAAAGTAGGGAGGTGCTACTCTGTTTTTAACAACCAGATGTGACATGAACTAACTGACCAGCAACTTACTCATCACCAAGAAACAATTCGTGAATTATCTATCCCCATAATCTAATACCTCTCACTAAGCCCTGCCTCCTACATTGGTGATTACATTTTAACATGAAATTCGGAGGGGATAATGTCTAATCCATTAACATCCAATGTTAATGTTGGATGTTTAATCCAAACCTTGTCATTCCATCCCTGGTCCCCAAAATCACATGTTCTCATACTGCAAAATAAAATTATCGCTTGCCAGTAGACCCCAAGAGTTTTTAATCTTTCCAACATTAAGTCTGAAGTCCTAAATCTCATCTGAGACTCAGCTCCTTCCACCTGTGGGCCTGTAAGATCAAAATGAGTTATTTGCTCCCAAAATACAATGGTGGTACCAGCACTGGGTAAGCATTAGCATTCCAAAAGGGAGAAACTGGCAAAAAGAAAGGGATAATAAGCCCCATACAACTCTGAAACCCAGTAGGGCAGGCATTAAATCTAAAAGCTCTTACATAATCTTTGACTCCATGTTCCATATCATGTTGTGAAGGATGGGCTTACAAAGACTTGGGTAGCCCTCCCCTGTGGCTTTGCAGGACATAGCTCACAGAGCTGCTCTCACAACTTGGAGTTGTATGCTGTGGCTTTTCCGAGCAGAGAGTTCAAGCTGCCAGTGAATCTACCACTCTGGGGTCTGGAAGACAATGACTTCCTTCCCACAGCTCCACTAGGCAGTGTCCTAGTGGAGATGCTGTATGGAGTCTCCCTGCTTTCCCTCAGCATTGCCCTCGTAGTTTCTCCATGTGGAGCTCCACTCCTGTGGCAAGCTTCTGCTTGGACTCCCAGGCTTTCCTATATATCCTCTGAAATCTAGGTGGTAGCCAACAAGGCCCCTTTACTCTTGCATTCGGAGCATCTGTAGATAAGCAACATGTGGAAACTACCAGCGCTTATGGCTTTTACTTTCTGGAGCTGTGTCTTGAGCTGTATTTGGGCTGCTTTGAGCTGTGACTGTAGCTGAAGCAACAAGTATATAGGGAGCAATATCCCAATGCTGCTCAGGGCAGTGGGCGCTTAGGCCTGGTCCCTAAAACCATTCTATTCTCCTAGGCCTCTGGGCCTAGATCTCCTTGTCCAGAGGCCCAGGAGAATAGAAAGGTTTCAGGACCAGGCCCAAATCCCTTCAAGGCATTTTCCCTATTGTCTTGGATGTCAGCACTTGGCTTCCTTCTAGTCATGTACACCTGTCTAGAACATGGTTGCTCCATAGGTTGTTTATATTCTTTCTCTGTCACTTGGCCAGTTTGCAAATTTTCCAAACTTTTATCCTCTGCTTCCCTTTAAAGTATAAATAATTTGCTCCTGTATCTAATTTAGGCTGTTAAAAGGAGCCATGTCACTTCTTGAATATTTTGCTACTTATAGCTTTTTTCAGCAAGACACCCTAAGTCATCACTTTTAATTTTAAACTTTCACAGATCCCTAGGACCTGGATACAATGCAGCCAAGTTATTTCCTAGGGTGAAACAGGGAGGACTTTTACTTCACTTCCCAGTAACTTTCTCATTTCCATCTGAGACCTTGTCAGTGTGATCTTAACCATCCCTATCTCTGTCTGCATTTTGATCACAACCATTTAACCAGTCTTTAAGAAGTCTAAACTTTCCCTCATCTTTCTATCTTCTGAGATCTCCAAAATCTGCCAAACTCTGCCTATTACCCAATTCCAAAGCCACTTTCACATTTTCAGTTATCTTTATAGCAATGTCCCGCTACTTAATACCAATTATCTGTGTTAGTTCATTTTTTATCACTTTAAAGAAATGCCTCAGGCTGAAAAATGTATAAAGAAGAAAGGATTAATTGGCTCATGATTCTCTAGATCATAGGAAGTATGGTGTCAGCATCTGCTTTTGGTGAGGACCTCAGGAACTTACAATAATGG